TCATCAACGTTGTTGTGGGTTGATGTTGTTGCGGGTAGAGCAATAGACCTCTTGTTCCTCTCTTCAACCACCTTTGAGAGTTGGGTGGTTTCGTAGGTAATAAGATTACCTCGAAGAGCATCATAGGTCGTTGTTTGGAAGTCACGACCTTCTTCGATTGCGTCCACCTTTGAACGCCATTTGGGGGATAGGCTTCGTAGCACCTTTCTCACGAGCTCTCGGTCGGTGTAGGTCTTCCCGAGAAGATTGAGAGGATTAATGATGTTAGAGAACCTCTCAAACATTTCCTCAATCTTCTCGTTTTCCTTCATTGAGAAGAGTTCGTACTCGTGAGTAAGATGGTCGATTTTGGCCTCCCGAACTTGCGCGGTTCCTTCGTAGGTGACCTCCAATTTCTCCCACATTTGTTGTGCGGTTTCACACCGCGAAATTTTGCGGTAGTCATCCGCATTAACACCGCAATAAATCATCTCTATTGCCTTTGCGTTGAGCTCCATCTTTTTGCAATCTTCGTCGGTGAACTCCTCTTCGGTTTTGGGAACGTTGACTTCACCGACTTTCTTCATCGGGACTCCGCATCCGTTCTTCACAATTAACCATAGCTTGTAGTCGTTGGATTGGATAAAGATTCTCATCCTCTCCTTCTAATACGAGTAGTTTGTTCCATCGAACAAAGGTGGCCTCGTGGTTGATTGTCCCTCGGTCACTCCTGCGTTGAACATCCTTGATGCCATTTGATCTTTTAGGTCCTGAAAAAATAACGTATTCGAAGAACTTCCCGCTCCGATACCAATTGTTAGACAAATGTGCAACTATAGAGGGGGGGTGAATAGAGTTGTTTTCAAGAATGTACGCTTTTCGTAAAAATTATCGCAGGAAAAAGTAAGGAGAGTAAGGGAAAGAAGAACACCGGGATTTATACTGGTTCACCACCTCGTGGCTAGTCCAATCCTCCGAGAGACTCTCTCGAAAGTCCTACTAATCTTCAAGCTTCAACGGGTGCTTGAAAAACCGGTACAACTTGAGAACTTGAATCACACAAGCCTCACTTTCTTACAACAACAAGACTTGAGTCACACAAGTCTTAAGAACAACACTCAAATGAGATTGAGTTTACAACACAAGAATGAAAGCTCACACAATTGAGCAAAGTAGTGTTGAAAGATTTAAGCTCTATGGATGACAACTTCTATAGCACTCAAAGAAAAAATATTTCTAACTCTCAAAAATAATATTTTGATGAGGAAGATGAAGCAAAG